ACTCTTTTTAAGTAAATTAATTTAAGTTAATTTAAGTTGATCGTGACTGGCGATCCAGCTGATTTACAGAGCAGGAAATTACATTAGGAAAAGGCCGCCATCGGCCGGCAGGAGGGAGAGGAGGGAAAATTAGATCCACTTAGCCGGGTGAATTAATATGGAAATAGCAGGTGTAAATTTAACCTTATCCACAGAGCGAAAATTATCTTCATAAATTTCCCCAAATGGCTCCCGAGCTGCTTATAAATCTATTTAAAACAAAAATATTACTGAAAAAAAATGTCGTAAAATTAATTTAAAATATACTTTCATCTATTTCCTGTAGGAGCGGGGGAGGGGGTGCGGGGCGCTTCCAGAGATATTTTTTTTTTAAAGATTTGAAGGTAAAAGAACAAAACGACTTAACCCGATGAGAGGCGGCACTGCGGCCTGGGCTCTGTGTGTGCAGTGACTTTGGGATTCAAGGTCTGCGTATGCATTGCACGTCCGTGCAAGGATCGGGATGATGGCCTTGGAGCATGCATCTCTAGAATACAAGAAAGCAATGGCATCTGCCTTCCTTGTACATTGAGAGATTCCCTTTGAAGTGGACCTAGTGTCAGTTACACTAAACGGCTTGGATGCAGCTGCTCAGCCATGGAAACCCATTCCATGGAGCTCTCTACGCACTGTTGTTGTGCCAATCTGACGGCCGCATGGAGTTTGGAGGTCTGTAGCTATTGACTCTGCAGACAGTTGGCGACTTCTGCGCACTGTGCGCTTCAGCATGCGCTGACCCCGCTCTGTCATGTGACGGGGCCTACCACTTCCTGGCTGAGTTGCTGTTGTTCCCAGTTGCTTCCACTTTGTTATAATCCCAGTAACAGGTGACCGGGAATATTCAGTAGCCAGGAAATGTCACAGAACACCTGAATCCAATGATTTGGAGGGATGTCCCAACACTTTTGGAAATATAGTGTAAATGTGTTCAGGATAAGTATTGCATCAAACACTTTGATTACCTCTCAGAGAGACCACACTGAAAATGCTTTCATTGGTGTTTTCTCTCCAGAAGGACGGTGCCATCTTTTCATCATCACCTTCCTGAGATGCCGGATACACGTTTTATTTTTATGTTCATTGGTCTTCAAAATCGATGTTTTACATCTGATTATTTGATACATTTCATACAAAGGATAACCATGACACAGGACTCCCAGAGCACCATGGGTCTTCTACCAAGAGCAGAAGGTGTTTGCTTTAAGACTCTCTCTCTCCTATATACACTGACGTCAACTACACTGCTATATGCACTGCTGTCACCTACACTGCTAAATATGTAATTCAAAGGGGATCTTATGAAGCCAAAAGGCAAAAACTAGGTTTGGATTTAACAAACCCAATATGGTTCATGGATGGGGAAGTTCATCAATAGAAGGAGGGGGGACCATGAACGAGGAGGTCCCTCTTTAGTAAGAGAGATTTTTAAATAGGAAGATTCTCTTTGTAGAAGGAGATGTTTATGTTCATCTCAAGATGGAAAAAGGTTCATAAAAGGGGAAATTGTATCTTTAGGAGGAGAGGGGTTTAATAAAAGGGAGGCCCATATTTAGCAGGAGAGGGGTTCATGAACAGGGGAGGTCCATCTTCAGTAGGAGAGCAGATTAGGAACAGAGAGATCTCTTTTTAGCAGGAGCGGGGTTTAATGAACAGGGAGGTCCACCTTTAGTAGGAGAGGGGTTCCTGAACCAGGAGGTCCAGTTTAAGTAGGATAGGAGTTCATGAATGGGGAAGTCCACCATTAATTGGAGGAAAGGCTTATGGACAGGGAGGTCCACCTTTAGTAGGAGGGGGGTTCATGAATGGAGAGGTCCATCGATAGTAAGAGAAGAGTTCATGAATGGGAAGGTCGATATTTAGTATGAGAGGGGCTCCTAAACAGGGAGGTCTATTCTTAGTAGGAGAGGGATTTATGAACATGGAGGTGCAATTTTCGTGGGATAGAAGCTCATGAATGGAGAAGTTCAACTATAGTATGAGAAGGGGTATAAGTAATATGCAGGTACATCTTTAGTGGCACAGAGGTTTAAACATAGAGAGGTCCATCATTAGTAAGAGAGAAGAATAAGAACAGGGAGGTCACCTTTAGTAGGAGAAGAGTTCATTGAGCGTGGAGCTCCATCTTTAGTAGGAGAGAGGTTTGTAAATGTGGAGGTCTAGCTTTAGTAGGAGAGGAGTTCATGAACAGGGAAGTTTTTATTTTTAGTAGGGTAGATAATGAACTGGGAGGTCCCAATTTCATATGAGAGGGGTTTAAGGAATGTGGAGGTCCAGCTTTAGTAGGAGAGGGGTTTAAGAAACGTGGAGATCCCACTTTAGAAGGAGAGGGGTTTTAGGAACCCGGAGGTCCAGCTTTAGTAGCAGAGAGGTTAAAGGAATATTGAGGTCCCACTTTAGTAGAAGAGAGGTTTGAGGAACCCGGAGAACCAGCTTTAATAGGAATGAGGTTTCATGAATGTGGAGGTCTATCCGTAGAAGGAGAGATGTTTATGAAAAGGGAAGTTTTGATCTTTAGTAGGAGAAGGGATCAAGAATTGGGAGGTCCCTCTTAAGCAGAAGATGAGTTTATGACCTGCAAAGTCTTTTGAACGTAAAAGGTTCCTGAAAGGAAAAGTTTTTATCTTTAGGAGGAGAATGGGTAAGGAACAGAGAGGTCTCTCTTTAGTAGGAGAGAGGTTTACAAACTAGGGTTTAGGGACTTGGAGGTTCAACTTTAGCAGGGGATAGGATTACTACCGGGCAGGTCCATCTTTAGTAGGAGAGGGGTTTAATGAACCTGGAGCTCCACCTTTAGTAGGAGAGAGGTTTGTAAATGTGGAGGTCTATCATTAGAAGGAGAGATGTTTATGAACAGGGAAGTTTTGATCTTTAGTAGGAGAAGGGATCAAGAACTGGGAGGTCCCTCGTTAGTAGAAGAGAAGTTTATGAACTGGAAAGTTCATCTTTTGAAGGAAAAAGGTTCAAGAAAGGGAAAGTTTTCATCTTTAGGAGGAGAGTGGGTTAGGAATGGAGAGATCTCTCTTTAGTAGGAGTGGGGATTAAGGAACCTGAAGGTCCTGCTTTAGTAGGAGAGAGGATTATGAACGGAGAGGTCAGTCTTTAGTAGGAGAGAGGTTTCATGAACCTGGATCTCCATCTTTAGTATCAGAGAGGTTTATAAATGTGGAGGTCTATCTTTAGCAGGAACGGGGCTTATAAACAGGGAGGTCCATCCTTCTTAGGAGGGGGGTTTAATAAATGGTGTCTGAAGGACAAAACAGAAGACAAGTTCCCTGTACGGAGGATGAGGGAATAACATTCTTTATGCTGCCATGTGAAAGGTGTCAAAATGAGCAGCTGCTAATGTGTTAAGAAAACACGGCGTTCTGAACACTCTCTGACATACAAACAGCTCCTGTTCTGGACTCCGGAGCCTTCCCCTTGAGACAAGGAAGAAAACACCTAAAATGAGCAGCCCGGCCGCGTACTACAAGGTCCCCGTATCTTTGACCAATTCAGCGGCATTACAGCTGTATGTTTTTACACTGAAAGTGCGGATCGGTTTATAAATATGGCTTTCCATGATTCTTATACCGTGTTATACGGGTCAGTCATGAAGGTTTATACCATTTACTTTACAACTCAATACACTATAAATCCGCGATCATTTACAACACGTTACGGACTCATTCACATGATATCTTCATAGAAAACCCATGAGAGTCTCAATACTCAGTCCATTCCCTGGCTAAGAACTTGGAGAAAGGCTGTAAAACATTCCTAAATTGCTTGAAGTGCAAGTTCCCGGGAGATTTACAAAGGTTTGAAGTCATTTCTACTGAGGCTGAAAATTCCTGTAAAATGCAGAATGCTAAATTCTCTCACATGGTAATGCTGGCTCAGAACACGGCCAACAGAGCTCGAGTAACACCAAAAAAGGCCCCAGGCAGGATAACAGCCCATTGCCCCCTGTGCCCATTACCGCC